AATACGCTACTGCATATCCGCGTTTGTTGCTCGAACGGGCTGCAGCGCGGAAGCCTCCTTTTGATGTCCGACCAGCTCTAACTCGCCTCGCACATGTCGAAATCAGATGGCACGATGACAGTGAAATAATTGGCGTTCTTGATCCGTGGCTTCTACCATTCTACTACTTCCCTTCTATGCGCGCTATATCTGGGGATATGGTCCGGGAAGACGACCCACCACAGGAAGTAGAGGAGAAAGATTGGAAAGCCTCCAATCTCCAATTCACGGGGCCAATCTCTTCGGTTGCCGAGATCAGATTCTCCAAGAGCAATGGCGGCCGAGGCATGCGGAGCCAAATTGAATGTTGCAAGAACCTCAAAGTTTTCGATTACGCTCATGAGGACAGCTTTGGACGCGGATTCAATGTCCCCGCCTTTGCCACCTCGCTTGCATCCGCCAAACACTCGCTGGAATACCTCTCTCTGGGGTACGAGCGCGAAGGCGACTCACTGGGCTTTGATGAATGGGAAGATGTCCTGTTCGGATCGCTGACCGACTACGTTTCTTTGAAGAAGTTACGAATGAGAATGGTCAATCTGGTCGGGAATACCGACGATGGCGAGATCATCGAGTCACTCACGCGCATTCTACCACGATCTCTTAAATATCTTGAAATCACCCACGTCACCTCACAGTACTGCAAGCATCTCCGAGCTGACTTAATGAAGTTACTTGAACCATCTACTTACTCGGCTGTCACGCCTAACTTGGACGTCATAAAAATCATCGGCGGTATTTTTCTCGAAGAAGCCCCCCCAACTGGGGAGCCTGATGTCCCTCCTGAGGAAATACCATGGGTATTTACTTTTCGGCGTGATATTTCCAAAGCGATAAAAGCAATTATAGCCGCCTGCAAGCAGGTTGACGTTGGGTTTACGCTTGAGGATGAAAGCGCTGTGTGGCCTGCTACACTGTGTGTTATTTCGGGGATGGATAATTACATGGATGAGTTGGCTACTCGCATGGCAGAAAAGAACACTTGGATTTTTACGATGAATGACTCTGCCACCTGGGTCCTCGATGACTCTTCCACCTGGACCCGCTAGTTACTACAGGCCAGCTGCTTGCCTTGCCTCCACCTGAGATCTAATATTGATTAGTTATCTATCCCTTGTATTTTGCTGGGCCTGGCTACAAGCCCCATGGCCCTACTTTACTCACTTCCCAGATTGCTTCCCTCTCCTTCTCTCTCTCTCTTTCTATTACCCCTATTATTTCCTACCACCTTCGCTGTCCCTACTGCCCCTGCTGCTCATACTACCCCTGTTACCCCTCTTACCTCTAATACTCCTATTGCCCCCTGCTGCCTTTGCTGCCCCTATTACCCCTAGCTCTACTATTTTTATTACCTGGCCGTTTGTGAAGACGAGGGCGGCGACGGAAGCATTGGAATTGGCTGGACTCCTCGGAGCCGAGGGAGGGGTTGCCATCTGTCTTCCAAGGCTGGGATCTGGGATGGGCGGTCGGTGGTTGTTATCGAGCTTGTTGGACATGGGGGGTATGTTATTTGTTACGGAGACGGGTGTCCCGCTGCTGTGTCTGGATGTGGAAGGGAGGTTGGGAGTTTCTGGAGCTCTCAAACTGTTCCCATCTCTTTGGCCAATGACGGTGTTTGGGGTGTTTTCTGAAACTATACTATATTTCCGCTGCGCTCGAGAAGCTGCAGAGTAGGAAATGGAGTGATGACGATCAGGGGCTGTGATGCATGTCCATGTCGGTATGGCGCGGAGGCGAGATGGGGGTTGGGAGTTAGGAGTTGGGGTTGATTAACTTACATGCCAAAAATAAAAAAAATAAAATATAAATATTTGGTTCCCAATAGAGGGGGGGAATCAGTAGATTTTAAGTTATACAGATCCAGCCGGGAGACGAGCATAAGATACTTTTAAAGAAATAAAAAAACGAAAAAAAAAATAAAGCCGAACGCGGGGGTCGAACCCGCAACCTTGTGATCGTCTCATCAGAGAGTGTTACCCGAATAAGAGTCACACGCTCTACCGATTGAGCTAGCCCGGCTGCTATTGTTGAAGGCCGGGATTGCCTTGGTCATTTTGTGCGTTTTCTTTTATTTCCTACAAAAGAGACTAAAAATGTACACACATACATCACCCCTCAACCTCCCTGATACTACCAGCAACCCCATTCCCGCGTCCATACTGTATCATTTCATTTGACTCCACACTCGTTTCATCTACCAATTTGTCCGCCTCCTCCTTCCCTGCCACAGGGACCCTGTATTCGAACTTCTTGCCTACCCCCGGAACTGTGCCGTCAGGCAGCGGGTATGGGAATGGGAGATATTCGGGCAACAATCCCACTTGCCGTAGGAGGCTGGCTTGGTCCCACCAGATGTGCTCGTGGTACAGACGGTCACCGCGCACGTTGACTATCGAGACCATGGGTAGACGGACAGGTTTGTTGGTTGGTGGGACTCCGGGGAGGCTGGGGAGGTTAGTTTGATGTTGTCGATAGAGGCTTTATTAATGTTGGGATAAAGGGGGGGATAATAGTATAGAGATATGGGAGGGGATTTTCTTACAAGGCATCTATTGTTTTATCGTGTGTGAAGCAGAATATGAATTCGTCGATTATACGATCAATCGCCACGGAACGGCTGATAAGTTCGAGGGTTGTGTCGTCCGGGTTATTCCAGATAAAGTGGTATCGGTAGAAGTTGGTAAGGCGATCCCGACCAATCCCGCCAGTTATCTGGATGCATAGTGTTTGTTCAGTACGACAACAGATGCTGGCATTGTCATTTTTAGAAAAAATAAACAGGAGGACGCACAGTGGGGATATGGTTAACGTATGGTTCCTGAACCATCGTTCCCATGGTCCTAGCGACGGAGCGGTCTCCAAATTCGAAATATGTATGCTCCTCCCATATTGCTTCGAGGTCGAAATACGGTCCCCCTATCTTGGTTTTCAGAAACGTCAAGTTGCGCGTGTGGGCGACATTGGCCGCTGAAGGGTTGAAATCCACGTGTTGCGGGACAGCGAACAACGGGGATTTGGCTTCCAGGTAGTTGTGAGTAACTTGGCCCTCTATCTGAGGCACATTCTCTCCTTTGCCTGGTAGATGCAGGATTTTTGGTGTTTTGCTACGGAAAGAAGTTCCATATGAAACAATGGCTACAATTTCAGTTATGTCGTCAAAAGCAGAGATCTCATCAGGAGTATATCGAGCCTCCTCGTATACTAATTTCTTGTTAGTATCCAGCTCATAAAGCAGCTTAGCCAGATGAATAATGCTCACGGATTAATCCAAATTTATCTTTGACATCGCACTCAGGTAGCTCCTTTAGCGCTTCCAGGCCCTTCCTAACTCTCTCTACCGCAGAGGCAGAAGATCCCTCTGGGGATGCAACGGGAATCTTCACCTCAGCCACGGCGTAGCCTTCCTCCGCCCATTTCTGACAAGGAGGAGGGTCCAAGGTTTGTTTTGTTTCGTCAAGTTGTATCGGATCTGGAAGAACAATGACTAGCCCGGGTCCATGGCCTCGACGTGATAATGGTGGTTGAATGGTTAAATCCGCGTGGATCTGTTTTGGAGGGGCGGATGGGAGCGGAACGGGCGTTTCTTCGATGTCCATCGTGTTTTGGATGTTTAGATCTGTATTATTGGTACGGTATGGTTGAATCTATGGAATAGACCCCTATATCTTCTGAACTGTTTATGATGATAGTTGCGAGCGATGCAAGGTGATAAGCCGATAGCGGGGTTCGGCATGGATGCCCCGCGCGCATAGCCGAAGCTAGCGTTGCCGAAAATATATATTTGCCCTTGCCTGAGGAACACCGATCTTCACCACAACTATCCGCAAACAATAAAACAAGAGTTCATAACAGAATGAGGATTACTGGGAAACATTTTCAATACGATCCTATCTGCCTATATACTTATTCTCACATTTTCTTCCATAAGCTCAAAATGGTAGAGGCGGAAAACGTCGAATATCCATTTGAATAGCTACTGGTAGTATGCACTTATCATACAAAGAAGAGAAGTACTCAATGAGATATAACCCAGAATGTATCAGTACTCAATAATTGGCCCGTTCTGGCCTAACAATGTTGGCATCCTGCGCACCTGTCATACAAACATCCTCGGGTCTATTGCCGCCACTATGTAACCGCTCCGTGGAACTTAAATTGAGTGGGCGGGCTTCCGCCCTTCATGCACACCCTGTTGGTATACTCTATAAGGACTCCTTACTTTCCGAGATATGTGGGAACGCTTCGTTGTATGAGTTACATGACTTGTTGGATTTGTCCCGGTGCTACAGCTGTCCGCTAAACCCCTGTCTACTCTGTTGGGAATCAATGATGCAGAACGGCAAAAGCTAGGATATTCTATTCCCCTTGTTCTACGTACCTAGAAAAAAGAATACTATGTAATAGTTCTATCTTGTATTAATAAATAGGGGTGAGTTTGCGGGATTGACGTAGTCACCAAGGAGCGAATATATAAATTAGAACAAGTTATACATATCGAAAGAGAGCCAATAGACAATGAAATAGAACTTAAACCAATTCATATTCTCATAGGATTAAGTATTCGGAGCTGGTTTCACATGTACCCCTATTGACCATGCTGGCAGACTCAGCGCGCGAACGATCAAAAGAAATATAGACAAAAAAAACAGAAAAGAAAAGAAAAAGAAAAGAAAAGAAAAGAAGCCCCCCTTAGTTCCAAAAGCCGATAATTAGAACCCAGTAAAGTCAACTACTAGTACTGAGGAGTATTCATGGCTCGTATATATGCGGCCTCAATCTTGGGACATCACAGCCAAAAAAAATCCAGAAAAGGACCAAAAAAACCACAAAAAAAGAAATGATTCTACCAGCCGAACGCGGGGGTCGAACCCGCAACCTTGTGATTGCAGAATTACAATCATAATAAGAGTCACACGCTCTACCGATTGAGCTAGCCCGGCTTCGTGTATGTAGAAAGCATCAGCCGAACGCGGGGGTCGAACCCGCAACCTTGTGATTGCACGATGACAATCGAAATAAGAGTCACACGCTCTACCGATTGAGCTAGCCCGGCTTGTTGTTGTTGAATGCTGGGTGCCGGAAAAAATATTTTGTGTGTGAAGGGTCTGTTTTTTTGCTTTTTTTTGGGGAGTGGAAAGTATAAATGTGTTTAGCGCTGTTCCTGATCCACTTAAAGATGCTAGGGCAAAGCTTAACTTTGTTTCATTGGGCCTTGGCCGCGGAAACTCAACGCCACTGCGCAGGGGCCGGGCGTCGCTCGGTTAGAACTTTGAAGAATTATCTAGGGCGTTGTTTCATAGAACAAGGCTTTGATGGAAAATGTATATTTCCTGAACCCAAACAACATCCTTGAAAGCAATAAACAGTTGTTCCTTACTAGGTTAATCCTCTCTTGCATAAGTTGGTTATCCAGGTCCAGGGGTAGGAAAGAAACCTGTGTAATGTTAACTTGAAAGACAGGACAATGGATTTCTTGCCAGGCATGAGGTTCAACAAATGGGACTTCATGTGGGCAACTGCTGTTGGCAATGAAACCATACTGCTATGTAATATATATAAAGAAACAGTTATGAATGTCCAATACAGGAATAATAAGACAGAGATGAGAACAATAAAAGTTCTTTGGGAGATGGAGAACATAATGTGCAATTAGTATGGCGAACTATGTAGATCGAGGGAGTCAGAATAAGCTTAATTCACCCGTGTCAGTTCCGTGGCCCGTGCGGTGGATAGACGAGTCAGGGGAACTTGTTGGTTACTTCGCCGCTTGGCACCCTCCTCTATACTTGTTGGGCATAGATTCATGTTTGACAAGTCGCGTGAAACTTAACTACCTGATGCATTCATAGCATCTGTTTGGCATTATCCATGTCAGTTTTTACCAACACCAAGTTACTGGGGCGGCTGGTGGCGGAGAAGATGGGCTACACCGTGGCAATGAGGCCAACCTCTCCTATATAAAGCGGCTCCCCTACCCTTCTATATAGTTACAAGCAGCTTCAACAGTTCTACCTCCACGACAGAGTCCAAGAAAGGCCGTCCTTCCGAAAACTCCTCCCAAAATCCAACTTTGAATACTATTCTCTGCCTTTACTCCACTCCCGATACCTACCACCATGTTTTTCAATCAACTCAGAATGCCTCTGGCCCTACTCGCCGCCGGGGCCCTCCTACATACTGTCCTCGCCGTCGATCTACACCAATACACCGGTACGAAGGCCAAGGGAAATCAAGCCGTATGCAAAGACATCGACAAAGACCGTTGCTGCTGTCCGCCAACGAACTTCGGCTCCACCCAATGCTTCGGATGTCCTCATTTCGGTATGTCGATATCCTACAGCAAAAAAGGAGATAAGAGCTGTGGCCAGTGGTTTGGGGCGGTTGGTCAGACTACGGAGCCCAAGCCGATGTCCAGTCTCGACAAAACCTTCAGCGGCCATGCATGGTGCGACAATTGCGCAAACGAGGGTTACCATCCAAAGGCGCTCGATGGTTGCGTCGAGCCGAAGTTTTTGGAAATTGATGGGACATGGTTTGAGTTGAAGGATGGCATTTCGGACAAGGAGAAGGATGAGCTTTGGGGAAAGTGGTCAAAGGAGGTGCCGGCTAAGGATATTCCGGAGTCGCTTTTGAAATATAAACTTGACAAATCCCCGGTGTGATTGAGGAAGTAGAAACAAAGCCACATCTAGTAGCTGGGACTACTGATTTCTTTTCCTTTCTTTGCCTGAAGGTCTTCTAAATACATCCACTTGTTTTGTTAGTCTTCCATGTTCAATAATCCTTTGTTAATTATCAGAGTTGAATTTAGAGGTACTTTCTTCAAAGCTATGGCGGAGACATGCATATTTGCTGCTCTCCAGTTTCAGTGTGTCTTGCAAGTGGCTGGGTATCTCAGTTTTAGTCAAGGTAATTCTTTCATGGCAAGGAAGTGAGCAACCAGCTGAAAGCTCCCTACCGATTGTGGAGTAAATTCGGAGTGGATCCGAGGGAAAATGCATGCGGGATCCAGCATGGGCGTGGGATAAAGAGAATGGGCATAAAGGTTCCAAGATATTTTCAAGACATACTGCGGTGTTTGCAGCCGCTGCGGCTATGCAGACAACAGGTTCAAAGGAATCAAAGGAAACATAGGATGGAATCAAAGCAATCAAAGTATGGGAGCATGATTAACTCTCCCAGCGCTGTTTCCAGGGTGATCTCTCTCCACTCAAAGATCACCCCCTAGCTAACCTTGAAAAATACTAGTAAGCTTAAAGTGAATATATCCTCAATTCCTCATAGATTAACTGCACTGAAGTGTTGTTGCCAATCACCAGCAGTCTGAAAGCTTTCCCCCTCCTGCTCCCCCTATTTTATTATGATATTTTTGCCCTAGCAACTCAGCAGCCCAGCAGCCTGGCTACGCACAACCAAGGTGATAACATCTCTGCCTCCCAACAGCTGTCTAAACTTCATCACACAATCAACGCCGAATATGGCTACCAGACGCCCCAAATTTGACCCCATCTCACCTCGTGAGATCCAGATTGAACGTGTGTTAGGGTACGACAAAGATGGCAGTGACTCAGTCAACACCTTCTTGGTTTTGATCCGGGGTGAAAAGATGGTGATGAGGACAGTATGTTTTTTTTTCTCCCCCTGGATACTCCCCCATGCTACACCGTCCGAGAAGTGGACGGAGAAATGTATAAATGGGTTCCGATTTTTAAAACTTTAAATATTAAATTGATTTCATAGTATGCTAATGACCACCCGGTCGAGCGGGGTGAATCAACCCTTTTTCGCATCGAAAAAGATGCCTATGAGAGGTTGAAAGCTCATGGGGTCTGCGAAAAAGGGTATGTTCCTGACTACTATGGATCGATCAAGAAGGCCGATTTTTCCGATGACTTGCGTCCCGGTCCCTGCGATGTTTCGGCCATCTTCCTTGAGTACCTCCCAAACCTACGACGGTTGGATAAGGCTGCTCATACAGAGGAGCGCTGGATGAGGGCAGAGAAGGGCATTGATGCCATCCACGAAGCACGTGTCGTGCGTAACCACGGGAGAGAATCATCGATTGATCAATTCGCTTTCGTTTCCACCGATGAGGCGCGAGAGCGGATTGTATGGATGGATTTCGAGTACTCGTCTATCTATCCGGAGGACGAAACGTTGTGTTCTGATCAAGAACTAGAGATTCGGATGGAAGCTGAATATGTTAAATCGATTAGACAAGAAGTGGTTCGTGCATCTTTCCTCTCCCCCAGCTCCCTGTTATTCAACAATCCCATGACACATTTAGCTAGTCCATTACTGACAAATGCAAAGGTTCGCCGGTCTCGACGCCTGTCTATACCTGCCGCTACGGCCATTTTCAATTCGTCTTGAAGTCTACCGAGGCCTGACAAGATATGGGATATCAAGGGTACAAATTTGACGGGGGTGCATGTGGGGAAAGGGGTTTAATAAACAGCTTTATCATCCTTTTGTTTTCGACGGCGGTTCAGATTTTGAATGAGGTTAGAGGACAAAAGTCACATATGCAGTGGATAGTAGGATAACATGCAAGAAATCGAATGGAGGCTTTCGTTCTGCGCTCTTCCGCCGATTGCATCGTTCCCTATTTCTATATTTTGGTATTAATCCTTGATCACAAGCTTTCCGAGTTTTACTTAGGAATGCCGTAGTTAGGTAACCAGCTAACTCACTAGATAAGCAGAGGCACGATTAACTTGTTGACCAACTAGTTAACTACTCGTTGAACGCCTCACCTTGGCAAAACCGTTGTTCTTCCCCCCGGCACAAGGCTGACTAGTAACTAACTCCATCTAACATCCGTGTTCTTTCCATCAAGACCAGAGATCTTTTACTGAACTTCTGAACTCCTTTGAGAATCGCAAGAATCAAAATCATCCATAATCGAAACCATTATCACAACCAAAATGCAAGCCACCATGTCTATCCACCGCCTACCATCAGAACTCCTAACCCTGATCATCGAAAGCGATTTCAAGCCTAATAGCAGCATCACAGACATGAAAACATTCTTCAGGCTGCGGCTGGCGTGTAGTATGTGATCTGCTTTATAAATGACATATTTTGGCTATTTCTGTTTCAAGACATGGGTTATATATATTGAAGGCTGGACTGTTGACATTTCTATTATAGAAACATTCGACGCTGTCGTTATGGATACCCTCCTAAACAATCTCAAAGGCGCCAGGGCGATTGAACGCCTTCCGGACGGCATGCTCCGGCACATCTTGTTTCTATGGGTTGGCCAGGCCAGATTGACCGATGACCTGTTTGCAGGTCTTGTAGACTCTGCTACGAACATTATTCTCTCTGTTTTGGCTAGGAAGGAGGACGATAATAACGACAAGCGCCCGTTTGGAGAAGAACAAGTAATCAGAGAGAAATATTGGCGAATTCTTTGCGATGCACATATTGCTCATCTGAAGCGGGAAATGAGGGAACCGACGAGAAGAGTTGCGGATATTTGCCACAGAATCAGCCCGCCTCTCATGATAAATAATTGGAGAATAACCGATGAAAGGGCGAATAATACGGCAATGACGGCGGCAGTGCACGCTGGGGACGCGGAACTTCTTCGACTGCTCCTTGAGGCCGATACGGCGGGTATCAGATGGAAAAATACCCATTTTGGCGATCTTGCCATGGCTGCTGTCCGCAGACAAGATGAGACGTTGATGGACCTGCTTGTGGATAACGGCGTTGACGTTTTCGTCGCCGAAAAGAACGAACTTACACCGCTGCAATATATGGCAAGATTTGGACTCGAGAAAACGATCCAACGAGCGGTTACAAGCCGTGCTTCCGACTTCGACCACCTCAACGATCATCTTGCCTTGGCCATTTCTGAAGCAATTGGATCCCAGCATCCGGACATTGCGACATTCCTGCTCAGGGTGACCAAGGGAACTATTGGCGAATACGACATAGAGGCTCTGCGGAGCCACATCGCGGGAGCCGGTTACTTGGATGTGCTGAAAGTTCTCATGGAATACGATCCAGCTGTTTCTTCTCCTGATGGTGCTCAGTACTCTG